TCTATTAAAAGTAATGAAATTGATATCAATTTCGGCTATAATCAGAAGTGCTACATAGAGCATACCCAATAACGCTATTGTCTAAATTTTCAAAATTCAACCAGTAGTAGTTTCCGAAATATTCTAATGGCTGATCATCGTGAGATGCCCTGTATACATATACACAAAAACTCAATAATTTTTATTTAATTTTGCTTGGGACATCATACTTTTTACTCGAAAAAGTTATTTTCATCGATTATGAAAAAGGAAAGGAGAGGCTGAAAGGATGGAAAGCGCGCGCTACTCTTGCGGCAAATTAATGCCCTATAGCTGACCTTCAAGTACCATCAATACGAAAAAAATTACAAATCCGAGTACCTCTTCTCGCTAGTTAAGATCTGTTCCATTGTAAACCGCAAAAAAATGTTAGACAAATTAAAAAGATATAGTAAAAGAAGACAAAACACTATCTAAGAGTCTCAGTCTCCCTGTACTTGTGGGTGTACCAGGGTACAAATTTGGGCTCATATATTTCTAATATTTATAAATAATCTAGGTACTCAATACAATTCCCAGCATAATTTCCTTTGCGGACGACACTGCAGTTATGTGAAGGTGGAAACATGGAAACAAGTAGACAATAGAATAAACATAGAGTGTAACTGAAATAATTGCGGAGTTTGCAGGAGGTAATAGAATACTGTAAAACAAGAAAATTAAGTAAATGTTTGCAGGTCGAAACACAACACCCCTCCGCATTCAATAATTTCCAGTAAGTCACTGATGGACACTTGTACCAGTGTTCACAACCTGAAGCGAGGAAACTATCGTACCTGTAGCGTAGAATTATCGTACATGGAGCAAAATTATCGTACATTTCAAAATAATCACTATAATTAGTAAATTACTCGTATTAATCGTGTAAAAAGACAGATCTGAACTACCCCCACCCTTTAAATTAAAAATCAATAATAGATAGAAAAATACTTAAATATAACAAGATATAGGGGGTGGAGGTATGTTAGTGGGGTGTTTTTGACCTTAGGCTATGGTTAGTGACTACATGACTACAATCACAAAGTGTGGATGGGAAGACCATCGACCCATCTGTGACCAACACGAAGGGATGTTACCTGCCGAGGAAAAACCTACATACTAGCATGATAACGTTCTTTTGTTGCAGGCACGTTCTTCTAAATTTAACACTGCGTATAACAAAAATGTTTATAGCGCTGTGAGCAAAAAGAAAAAAAAATATTCGCGAATAAAAAAAAGTCTTCGTGATATTGTCTGAGAGGGTAAGAATAAAATAAATTTTGAATGCATGAAAATTATCGTACAATCTGCGTACGATAATAATATGATATCGTACATCGCACGTAGACATAAAATTATCGTATGTGTACGATAATTATCGTACGGTTCCGAACACTGACTTGTACTTATTGTGAACGGTGTTATCCTTTCTCTCAAAGCCAGTGGCTGATTTGTTATAGTCATGGTACTGAGAGTTGCTGATATAAAGAGCCGATTAGGAGGGAAGGGAGGAGATCAAAAAGTGGGAGTAGTAAAGTTACATAGCTACAAGGACAGTTTCATAGCATGCCTATCAAAATCTTACCATTCTTGAACTTCAGAATAATTTTCAACGTCATTCTTCAGGCATTCAAGGTCATGTCTTGTAAGGATATTTTTCAGCTAAAGAAGCGAAGTAGTTAGATTACATCTATCTTGTAAGGGCATTCCGTTACCTTTCAATGCCATTCTTCAGCTGAAGAAAGTGAAGAAATCAGAGGCAAAACATTACCGTTATTGATAATACTGCCTACCGAGCTACTGACTCAAATTACATAAAGTAACAATTTAAAACAGTAAAAAACACCGATGTGATAGTGAACACATGTACTGTTGCGTAATAAAACACCTTTCGCACTACTACTTTAACTAATTACTCATTAAATAACACCGTTATTATTAATTAATTACTCGTTTACGATTTTGTATTTTCTCGCTTGTTCGCTCTCCTTATCTCACTTTCTGTCACCTTATAATTACTCTCTATACTCTCTCTTTCAAACTCTTAGTAACTATTTATAGGGGCTAGGACTTGCCCTACAAATATTCTACAATGAAAATTCCAAAGAATCTGGTCTTCTTTGTTACCGACACATTTTAGATTACTTTTTTTAAAGTTCTAACAATGGACATTCTTGTATAGCAATTAGCAAGGGATGAAAATATATACAATAAAAAATTTTTCATAAATTTATTGTTTATTTCTTAATTTAAAATTAATGACAATAATTGTGAAATTTGCAGTTACTTGAAGTACCTTAATAATTGAAATGATTATAATCGTTAGAGTGGTATACGAATAATTCGGTATCCGGATAATATTTATGCATCTACAGGATGTATCCAAATACTTTAGGAAAAATTGTAATGTTTCATTATTTATACTTAGCTAGGAGAGGGGGTGACAGCATAGAAACAACGGTTACAATACGAAAACTTAAAATTTAGAAAATTAGTATACTTCGTTTACTTTCTCTACAGCCCTGAAATTTAGCAGATCTGCGCCAACTAGAAAAGAACGGCACTAGATCAGAAAAGGAAGGAGACAACTTGCAGCCAAACTCGCTGCTAGTGACATGCATATAATCCATAACGTACGTTCAAAGTAAGTCTCGTTGTTGTATAAAGTCGTTAATAAAATGAGCTCCCTACTCACGATTTTGCCGGTGCGTATCTGGCATGTTGGAGAGGGCAGGGCTCTAGAGAAAATAAAGGAGTATAATATACTTCATTCGGCGAATACACAGCTGTAAGTTCTAAATGCGTTGTTATTAAGGAAAGTATTAGCTAGTATCTGTTTTACTCTGTAGGACAACTGATATTGCGAACATAAATTGTACGTCTAGTCTTAAAACGGTAATAAGCTCTTTAACACATTTTTCCGAAGAAATAGGTAGAGAGCATTTGTGACGATACTTGAATCGCCTGGTTAGGATGGATTACTTTTTCTCCAATGTACAAAAATAAGGAATGTTTATTTGAATATTACAATAACTATATCACATACGTAAATGAAAAGAGCTACATTTTGTGTTAATGTTAAATTGACATTGTGAAATATTTGAAGAAAACTTTGTATGTACTTCAACAGCACTTACGAAGGGGTGGAGTATTTTGAGGGTCGTATCAATCACTTTATAATTACCCTGTTTATTAGTCCAAATAGGTAAATACTTAAAATCACATTAATTGTCAACAGCACATGCATAGGAAATATCTAATTGTGCAAATAATAATAATTAGGCATTTATGCATACAATTAAAGATGCAAGGTACCGTCAAAATTATAGGAATGTGTGCAGAATTTAATAGCTATTGACGAAACTGCGCAAATGATTTCGTTGTAAATAATTCTTCTTTCTTTGGTAAATCTTTACAGCTTCAAAAATACATATTGTAATACAATAAAGGATTTAAACTATTGCCACGCAACTTAATGGAATGGAAGTATACCCACTCTTTCAGAGCAAAAGAACTATAGTATACGAGGGCGGTTCAATAAGTACCCGTGTTAGAAATGAAGACATCTTTTTTTTTAAATTTGTTTTTTTATTTTTCAACATAGTCCCGTTTTAGAAGATACACTTCTCCCAACGACCCTGCCGTTTTTTTTTACCCCTCCAAAAAATAAGATTTGTCAAACTCTCCAAAATCCCCCCTGTCTCGGCGACAGTGTTCGGAACCGTACGATAATTATCGTACACATACGATAATTTCATGTCTACGTACGATGTACGATATCATATTATTATCGTACGCAGATTGTACGATAATTTTCATGCATTCAAAATTTATTTTATTCTTACCCTCTCAGACAATATCACGAAGACATTTTTTTATTCGCGAATATTTTTTTTTTTTTTTGCTCACAGCGCTATAAACATTTTTGTTATACGCAGTGTTAAATTTAGAAGAACGTGCCTGCAACAAAAGAACGTTATCATGCTAGTATGTAGGTTTTTCCTCGGCAGATAACATCCCTTCGTGTTGGTCACAGATGGGTCGATGGTCTTCCCATCCACACTTTGTGATTGTAGTCATGTAGTCACTAACCATAGCCTAAAGTCAAAAACACCCCACTAACATACCTCCACCCCCTATATCTTGTTATATTTAAGTATTTTTCTATCTATTATTGATTTTTAATTTAAAGGGTGGGGGTAGTTCAGGTCTGTCTTTTTTTTTTGCACGATTAATACGAGTAATTTACTAATTATAGTGATTATTTTGAAAAGTACGATAATTTTGCTCCATGTACGATAATTCTAGGCTACAGGTACGATAGTTTCCTCGCTTCAGGTTGTGAACACTGCTCGGCGATGAATTCCTCGTTTGAGCTAAATTTCTTTCTCGCTAGTCATTTCTTCCTGCTAGGGAACATGATGAAGTCGCAGGGAGTCAAATCGAGTCAGTATGGGGTGTTCGGCAGCAAATTCATAACGTAATTCATGCAGTTTGGCGGCAACAACTCCTGACGTGCCGGTGCGTTATCGTGTTGAAAACGAACCTTCTTTTTCGTCAAATGCGTCCGTGTCTCCTTCAATTTTTTGTCGAAGCGGTCCAATAACTCACTGTAGTATTGTCCAGTAATCGTTCTTCCTTTTCCCAAAAAAAATCCGAAAAATGATTTCCTCGATAACAACGTTTGCCAGGCTTCCTGGTCGCTCCTATCAAAAACGGATCTTTGCCCACGTTTAAATTCGTTGAAGCAATATCTAACTGTGGTCGTAGATGGCGAAATGTCTCCATAAACAGTATCCAACTTTGTTTTCATCTCCTCGCATTTTTTCCCATCCAAAAACAAAAGGGTGTTACCGAACGATACTGCTCTTTTTCCATCTTAGCGAAAATAACGAAACACGTCTCAGTCGAATGGCTGCCAAATCCAAACTAACCTATCAATCAGTCTGAAAGTCGTTTTGGCGTGGCTTGATAGATGGCAGCACACGATGACAACACCATTTCCCTCAGAAACGTCCTCTGTCTTCAAACATGGTACTTATTGAACCGCCCTCGTATATGGGTTAATAGTTTCTTTTGATAATTAATCAGAAATTTTCATACTTTTTTAATCCTAAATTTTTTAGAAGCGTATGGTTTTTACTTTTTGATTGTGTACACAACAGTTTCACGTTATCTAAATCCTGAGTATAATTTATTAATTATGGTTGGAGCATTCTTGTTTTATTTAAATAATGAATTTACTGTCACCAACACAGTTGTTTGTTACATGTAATTGCTTTTAAGACCTTTCTGGCAATATGTTTCATTGCATATGTAGGAACAGTAGAATTATACATCAAACATAAAACATTCTCCTCTACTGCAATGGCATAACATTTGTGATATTCTGAGCACCAATAAGTTTCTGTCCCTACTGTAGAAACATAACTTTCATCAGATTTTATTTCCTTTTTGTCAAACGACGAATCTATTTCATCGTTTAAAAGGCATTCTCTTTTTACATATTCATGTAAGTTATTTTTGGTATGTAAGAATTTTAGAACACTTCTATAAAAAAAAGTTCGTAAGATATCAGATCGATGAGAATAACTGCAAATACGCTTTTTATCTGCAGAAGAAGGAATTGTTGATATTAGATATTTTCCTCGGTTTTTATTAAGTAAAAGTAATCTAAAAGAATGCTGTGTAATTTATTCTTCAATATCAGGTAAATAACTAGTTACCCTAATACTCCCAAGTCTAATTGCAAGGATTCAGGAATATTTCTCGGAAAGCACTGAATTGCAGAATTTAAAACTTCTAAATTGGTGTTGAAACAATTTATGGCTGACCTTTCAATTTCATTTAAAGAGTGTTGCTGATTGGCCAAACAGCATATATGCATATAAGGCATAGGACTGCATGTAATCAGACGATAGCGGGTCTGATAATACAAGAAAATTACAAGTATAATTTTACAAATGGAGTTTAAACATTTACCTTAGGACTTTTATAAGGTAAAAATACTGGCACATCTTTAATATTAGATTTACTGTCTGAACTTGCCAAAAATGCTAATAGTTTTAATTCTTCAGGGTGTAAATCCCACCATTCTTCTGTTGCAACTGCTATTTTTCCATGAATTAGGATACAAGTGTAGGCAGAACTTATATTTTCTGTATATGTATCAAGCATTATCTAAGAATGTATTTCTATTTAATATGCACATTTTATCTATTTATTCAATTAAAAACAAACCTTTATTTGGTGATTTTCATTACACAAAATTACTTCCGCCAAGGAAATTAAGTCTGAACAATATTTGGAATGTGAATCACCACAATCCAAACAGTCTAGTAACCTGTCTATTACAGGATAAATTACCTAAAATTAGAATATTAAAACTGATAATTATTCCTCATATGTAATACATTAACAAACCCTTAGTTCTCTCTTTATTTTTTCTACATTTTTTAGAGATCTAACTTCATTTACACCCAGTATTAACATAATTGCATTAAAGACAGACAATAAAAGTTTTTCTAGTGCATCTTTCGTACATCCACTTGAAATTCCAATAATTAAAATACTAAAACAATACTTAACAAATTTGTTCGTGGTTGTATTTACATAGAAGTAATTTAATCACAGGTGATGGGACATGGTCATGCGAAATGACAAAAGCGTCAATTTACCACCTAACCTGTCAAAATTTATAATATACAGCTTTCACAGCCTTTTTTACGTTTCTTAGACCATAAGCATCAAGTAACGGTATAGTAACCCTACTGACAATGAATGGATCCCAATGGTCCGATGTTTTACTGTCTTAAGTTATTGGATGACTGTGAAGTTGAAAAATAGGCAGTGAATAACATTTGATTTATATATTCCAAACTATCGATAAATTAAAAAGGCAGACATTTGCCCACAGATTTTGGCGCCCTTGGCTATTTGAGCCCCTAGGCGCGGGGTTACCTATTTTTGGTACTGGTGAATGCACTAACCAGCTAGAAAATAGAACGTGCATCAAAGCACTATCACCTGGACAGTGAGTGCAACAGTTGTGACTGATGCTTTTTTTACTTAAAATGCCTGACAATATGTAGCAAAACAACAGTAATTAAAAATATGTTAATTTACAGTTATTGTTTATGAAGTACTAAGTTTGTATTATATTTATTTATCAGTAACCTTATCAAACACAAAAATAGAGTAAATGCTGTCATAGTCATATACTTCTTGTGAACTCACAAGAAAACTGACGCGTTTATAATTTCCCGTGTTCATGTCCTGTTATCCGTCACTCGTGTTTGACGAGTAGTCATGCTTTTTAATTAAGCTATATGCTTTCACCTGCAACGAACCTTACCTTTCAAAATATTCTTTCCAAACAACACAGTAATCGTCCATTAATGTATTTAATAACGTAATAGATAGTGATTTTGTAAACATATGAACCCCATTTAACGAGCCGATTACAGAAAATGGGAACTGAAAATCAAAGCATTACATGCTATTCGAATCCTACGATCACAAAGGTTATTTAAGTACATTTTCTAGATTGCCTTTTTTCCGTGAAAAAATTGGTATTCCAGAACCTGAAGCAATACAAATTACATGTGCACTCATTTTAAAAAAAAAAAAAAAACTAGTATATAAATACACAAATGTTCAGGTCTGGTCTTTTTTTTTTGCACGATTAATACGAGTAATTTACTAATTATAGTGATTATTTTGAAAAGTACGATAATTTTGCTCCATGTACGATAATTCTAGGCTACAGGTACGATAGTTTCCTCGCTTCAGGTTGTGAACACTGNTTTACAAATTACATGTGCACTCATTTTAAAAAAAAAAAAAAAACTAGTATATAAATACACAAATAATCGCAAGGATTACAGATTGAAGCATAATTGAAATCATAGATGGAAATCTTGTCAAAACAATAGATAATGTCAAAACGAACTAATCATAGATAGAAGAAGTTAGATCTCTAAAAAATGATAGATAAGTCGTGTGAACTGGCACCCGATATACATAATCCACTGATTCAAAATTTACTTATAAATTGTGCGTCGTTTGCGGAGTTCAAAAAATGTAAGTAATTGTGCGACTGTTCGCAAATAGTTAAGGATGTGGGTTGTTCTAGTTTTAGGGAAATGTGAAAATTAGCTCAGGATAGGAAACAGTGAAGGTGCATCCAATCAGTCTTAGAACTGACGACCTTATGATGATGATGATTGTAATTTGATTGTTGATGATGTATGTGGCGGAATCCCGCCGAAGGATCTTTTGGTTATTCACTTCGAATCAAAAGACTGCTTTTCTTTTTACACTTTATTTACACTAATTGCTTGAGTTGGATAATTGGCTTGCATTGGTATATAAATTGATTTGGATATAAATTGATTGATTGAACCTGAATTGTAATTGAATCTGAATATTGAACTGAATTGTTGTATATTGAATTGTATAGTTGAATATGAATTATAATAATTATGAATTGATTTGAACTGAATTGTAATTTGAATATGTTGGCTTTAAATTGTAATAATAATCTCTACTTTGGTCCAGGACTTAAATAGTCTACGCCTCTAAGTAAAACAAACCACTTGGTCAATGTTTCTGTTGTTGCTATGCACCCCTCAGGTACCCAGAGAAAGTCCGACGTGACGTAGTTGGGAACTAGGGCTTTCCTAATGTTTGGTACCTACCTGAAGGGTGTAATAAAGAGGCCCAAAGCTGTTTGTAACATAAGTTGAAGTTACACAGAAATTACACGATACATTACATGTATACAGTTATGTACAAAAAAAAAATACAAACTAAAATAACTATAAAAAAGAATATACAAAAATATCGAAAGCCATCGACACCGAACAATGATGTCATTCCCTTGTCGGTAATCGAACCCGGGCACCTGGTTGTAGCTTAGTGGTTTAAGGATGAATAATGGTGCGTAAAATCATAGGACATGCATACTCTATGCAATCTTTGTCATTTTTTGTTATATATATCGGTTATCATTATATTATATCGTAGTTTATTAGACACTATTTGCATCTTTGCACAATAAAAAAAAATTTAACTCTAATGTTTCTGCATTTCTGTCTTCTGCAGAGTTTTACTATGATATAATTTCATTTTATTAACTTTGTATTTGATACAACCTCAAACATGTAATTTACAAAGAAATACAAAACAATACCTACGTAAAAAAACCCTCACTGCACTTCTAATACTAATACTGCGCTAATTAGATGGACATATAGTACATAATTGTAAGAATTCACTTTTTTAGTTTATGATTCGTTGTTGATGTAAATGTCTACATAAATGTTAAATATATATTTCCACAAATTGTTTTATAGCCCGAATGTCCATCGTTTCAAATTTGAAAATATTGGTTTTTTATGACAAACGGCAACTTGTTAAATATTTTGTAATCCTTATTTTTACAACTTTCATTCAGAATTCAAAAATTTGTAGTTTCATGACACCTCTATTTATCATTTTTCTTTCAAGTTTATCGGTTATTTATATATCTTTTTGATATCTAGGTATATCCTTCCCGTTCTTATTTTTAATTACTCCACATCACTTTGTCATAGTTTATTAATTTTCAATAGTGAATTCGTAAATTGTAATAATTCTACATTTAGCTTTATTCACCGACATTCAGCATGTATTACCCTTTGTATATCTATTATCTATGATGTATTCACTGATTTATGTCAGAGAAGTTTATGTTCATAAGGGATTCTCGGCGTAGGGCGTAGGTAAGCCGGCAATGTTGTTCGCCCGAAAGTACTTTTGAATTTCTATATTTCACCTGTTTCTCCTAATCAGTAAACAACCTATATATAATTTCTCCATTTCTACGTCGAGCTTCTAAAATCTTTTTAAGGACAAAACTGGACAAAACCTTTTTTTTTCTTATGCAACCCACTTCACTTTCATTTTTAAAATCAACACGCCAAATTTCGCCGTATGCAGCGCCAACTATGGATAGTTATCCAAACTAGTGAGATGAGGTATACTAGTAAACGTAAACTGAACGTAAACTAACCAAAATGACGTACATTGTGGAATATGCGTAGAACGAACACACTTTCATATACTGGTATCTATGGTTGCAAATTTAAGGATGATTTAAGGTAAACGTGTGTGGGAGAATGTATTATAGAAAAAGTGTTAAATATGTTGTAATTTTACAAGTTGGGGCGTTAATGGATTCAAATTAGTGTTTCGAAGATGCTTGTTAGTGCCTGTTTCTGTTCAAAATAATGCTGGTGACAATATTAAGCACCAGAGAACGTTTCATCAGTCAACAACCTATTAAATTTATGTAGTTCATTCAAGATGGCTGAAATTTAATATACGTATTTGCCCGTATTTTATATGGTTCAGTATGATAGTGAAGTGGATCGTGGATGACGGTAAGGCTGAAAGGTAAACTTTTAATTCTTAACATTTTATGTGTTTTGTGGTGATTGGTACCATATTGTGTATACGGCCGACATTTTAGCTAGCCTCCACCCAACATTTTATTTGCATTATATCTACCTGAATACAAGGTACAGAAGCTTGATATTTTTATTTAGGCGTATGCTTTTCGAAGAACATTAAAATTGCATGTGTTAACGTGTTGACGTTTTATGTATTAAATGAACCCTCTATGGACGTAAAGATTATTAGGAGTAGATACTAGAGCCCAGGAAGTCACCAATCCTCATTTCAGTCTTGCGTGTAAAATTCGGCAATATCTGTTGTGGATATCTACTTTTTAGGTTAGAAGAGGAACACCAACAAATAATTTTGTATTTTTTGTTGCAAAGTTGAAAAATATTTTTTGTTTTTTTTTTTTAAATTTTGATGGTTAATGAGTAACGAAAATATTTATTTATGATCATTGATTTGGACACGAAAAATTAGATTATTTCCTAACATATTTTCGAAAGAGAAGTGGTACAAAACATAAATAAATAAATAAAATATAACTAAGGCCAATGCTATTATAGTAATAAAGATAAAGATTTCTTAACTCTTCTCACATATCCCCCTATTCATATTATACAACAGGTTAATTATAAGCGGAGTTTTTAATAATGATCGATTATATTTCAGGTTAAGAAGTACTGTTAGTTTTATAAATATTTTAAAAACAGTAAATTGGTTTCAATATCATACCCCAAAAGATGTGAGTGAGGTTCTCTGGTATTAGCCCGTTTTCACTTGCTCAAAGTTAACCACCGAAAACTGAGAAGACTGGAAAATAATAATAATACACTGTCAAAGTTTCCTTCTGTTTAATGCTAAATTAAAAAGAGGGCCATTTTTTACATTAGTTGACAGATGAGTTGGGACATGAAGTTAAGTCAGGTAAGTAGTACTCACCAAGTAGAATCGTGTGGTAGTATTAATTCCATGTGGAAACCAATGTAGCTTGAGATACAGGCTTCTAAATTTTCTTAATCGGAGGAAATTCCAGTTGGTACGCCCCTTGCTGCAGCCCTTCCTCAGCTGTTCTCGCCAAATATGCATTGATTACGTCATTGTTTACCTAGGTAGATTTATGACAGACTCGAGTTTCTATAATGCCCTTGCCCGTTTGATACATTGGAATAATGTTACGAGTATATCTTTTGGGACAAACGATTGTTTGGCGGGAACAGCTGACGAAAGGCTGAAGCTAGGGTCATACCTACCGGAATTTCCCCCGATTAAGAAAACTTTAAGAGCCTGTATCTCAGTCATATTGCTTTTCAAACAAATAATAAACAAAATTCTAATAAATACCACACTACTTTACTTGGTGAGTACTACCTACCTGATTAAACTTCATGTCTCAATTCGAATGTCAACTAATGTAAAAAATTACCAAAAAGAGATATGAAAACAAGTCTTGAAAAATAAAAACATAGGTTTTGAATATTTAAAAAATAAAAATTGGTAACAGAAGATTGAATGTGATGAAAAGTAATGTTATCCTTGTAGAATTAATGATAATGTTGATGTTTTGACAATTTTTACTTCTTTCTACATCCATTTTTTTTTTCAGACTTTTCTTGTGGGCACAAATCTCTGTTTTGATATGTGCTTATTATGTGGTTTGTTGTTTTTGTACTTAGGTTGAATAACTTTACCATGCTTGAGCCAGGCTACGGTAAGCTTGATTGGAACTATCTATTTATTTTACAATGACATAATACCATAGAGCAAACGATTGTGTCGCTGTTCTTCCAATAAACTAAGAACTTTGTCTTTTTTTATACAAAAGAGGTATTTTCTTAATATTAAATTTTCCTTCTATATATATTTCTATATTTCCCATTTTTTTACACCATAAGTCACTTTTTCGTTTTTCGAATAATTTGCCTTTTCTTCCCTTTTTTTCCATATTTTCTCACATTCCTGTGCAAAGTTTCTCATTTTTTTCTCTTTTTTTTGCTTATCAATGTCTACAGTTAAACTTTCCAGCTCTTACATCTTTTTCTAGTTTCCATCTGTAGTGTTTGATCACCCATCTTCTTTTCATTAAAAAAATTTTTCTTTCCTTTTTATATATCATACTTTTATACATTCTTTTAATAATATTATTCTGAATTTAACACTCCTTCTTCGTACTTTAAAGTTCTACTCGAATATTTTATAGTAAGAATGTATTCTATTGCCCAACTGACACCAGCACAAATCTGAAACCCAGTCTAAATATTCAATTAAAAGAAAAGTTTCTTCAAAATAACCTAAATAAATTTTTGTAAATCCTACCCCTAAAGTATATATGCAAATATTTTTTCCAAACACTTTTTAAATCGTCATGTTAGAACACGTATGAAGTAATGTCGTATAAGAATACATAGCATTAGATTGTGTTTTAAAATTGTGATAAAATAAATCCATGCTTATGTTATACCTAATTAGGAGGTGCATTTATAAATAATGACATTCGCAGCAATCACACATTAAACTAAATACGCCATACACCATAACAAGCGACCGAACCACGAAAAGACGAGAAACAAAATATAGATAATGTGATAGTGTTCAACATTGGGCGATTAGTGACTTCCTGGGCTCTAGATGGTAGTTATATGTATAGGTACCTACTTTTTTAAGTACCTATACATTCCTATGTTATAATGAATTCATTAAAATAAAAAGCAGAAATTCATATAAAGGGACTTTTTTTTAATAGGAAAATTGTGTTTTTTCTGTAAATTGGTTATAGCTAAACTGAAATTCTCCCCCTTGTTCAAATGATATTGGTATATATGATACTTCCCTAGAAATTTTTTTTTTTCGATTTTTCGTTTTTTTCTTATATACGGCGAAAAATTAATATTTTGAGATAAAATTTTGTGAAGGGCTTTGCGAAAGGTACCTACATGACATACTTGAATGACAATAAATTTGGAGCGGCTATGCTCTCTAATACGGGTTTCAGTGACTTATAAGCATATCGCTACGCTTTAATTCCGTATGTAGCAAGACTTAAACAGTGAGCAATAAAGTACAGCAAGAGCTTTTTTTATTCAACAAATTTTTTAATGTCGACAAATAAAAGATATAATGTAGTTTACTCGCAACTTTGCTAATGTGTATTTGTGCAATTTAAAGTTCAGGCATTTTGTACTTTCGACTTTCAGTAAGTAATTTTAACTGCAATGGTGTCGGGTGTCTTATAATTATTACAATTAGAGAAAGTAATAAAAACAGTTTTATCTATATTCAAGTGAGTTAATTTGTGATGAGCCATTTCGAAATCAAATCAAGATAATTATTAGTGAGTTCAGTAGTTTCATACCAATTTAATTTGGAATAAGTAACAATAACGTCAGTAGTAAAAGCAACTGTCTGAAGGAATAGCATCTAGTAGGTTATTGCTACAAATTAGATATAATAGAGGACCAAGTTTCTTCCCTTGTGAAACTCCCAAACAGTATCTATAGGGTTGTTCGGAAAGTCATTTCGTTTTTTTTTGTGGAAATGAAAGACAGTTTTCGTATAATAAACAAATACTTTATTAAATTATATATTGACCGTTCTGATCCAACACCTTTTGCCATCTTTCTGGTAGTAGCATAATTCCACGCTCATAAAATTTTTGGTCTTTGCTGGCAAAAAACTGATCGAGGTGGTTTTTGACCTCCTCATTTGAAGTGAAGGTTTTACCGTCTAAAAAATTTTGGAGTGACCGGAACAAATAATAATCCGATGGTGTCTGGAGAATATAGTGGGTGTAGCATTGTATCCCATTCAAGCTGTAAAAGCTTTTGGCGAGTGACCAAACTTGTGTGAGGTCTCGCGTTGTCTTGGTGAAACACTACACCTTTCCTGTTGATTAGTTCTGACCTTTTCTGTTGAAGTGCATCATTCAGTTTGTCCAGCTGATGATAGTAGACTTTGTATCGGCTTTGGAAATGGTTTGAGCCGATTCATCTTTTTTGCTCCATAGCCTCTTGCGTTTGACGTTGTTGTATACAACCCATTTTTCGTCCCCAGTGATGATGCGCTTCAAAAACAGATCATTTTCGTGACGTTTGAGAAGCGAATCGCAGACGTCAATGCGGCGACACAGATTTCTCTCTGTGAGAACATGGGGAACCCATACATTGAGCTTCGAGGATAATCCCAGGCCTTTCAAGTGGTAATAAACTGTTGAATTTGATAAATTTAACCTCAATCCGATCTCACGTGTTGTTATTCGCCGGTTCACATCAACTAATGCCTTTATCGCGTCTTTATCAGCTTCAACCGGCCTTCCCGAACGTGGTGCATCTTCGACATCAAAATTGCCGGATCGAAATTTAGCGAACCAGTTCTGGCACTGGCGTACTGTCAACACACCTTCTCCATACACATCAGTCAATTTCTTTCTGGCTTGAACAGAATTTTTACCCTTTCTGTAGTAAAACAGTAAGATATGTCGAAAATGCTGCTTATCGCTCTCCATATTTAAAAGGGCACCAACCAAAAACTACTGCGTAGAATTAATTGGAATTCTTCACACACAAGCCTTGCTATATGAGCTCCCAAAGCATATAAAAATTATACGGCTTAAATGTGAAGTTGGGTGCAAAAGAATACAATTAAATCCTCTGTCGGGAAAAAACGAAATGACTTTCCGAACAACCCGATAATTTTTTTTTATTTACACCATTTGGACAAATCGCTCTCTATCAATCAAATAACGACTCATTCATTTAAATGGCAAGCCCCTTATACCATATTTTTCTAAAATTTGAAGTATATTTTTGTGGTTGACCATCAAAGGCTTTAAATAAGTCTAAAAAAGCGGTAATAGCCGGCTGACTTATCAAGTTTTTCAGTTTATGATCTATTAGGTGCAATATAGCATCTTTCGTAGAATAACTTACTAACTTTTAATAATAACCATAAAGGCAATTATAAACAAATATAATCTGTTAACCTAAATAAATTTTTGTAAATCCTACCCCTAAAGTATATATGCAAATATTTTTTCCAAACACTTTTTGTCATTTTTTGTTATATATATCGGTTATCATTATATTATATCGTAGTTTATTAGACACTATTTGCATCTTTGCACAATAAAAAAAAATTTAACTCTAATGTTTCTGCATTTCTGTCTTCTGCAGAGTTTTACTATGATATAATTTCATTTTATTAACTTTGTATTTGATACAACCTCAAACATGTAATTTACAAAGAAATACAAAACAATACCTACGTAAAAAAACCCTCACTGCACTTCTAATACTAATACTGCGCTAATTAGATGGACATATAGTACATAATTGTAAGAATTCACTTTTTTAGTTTATGATTCGTTGTTGATGTAAATGTCTACATAAATGTTAAATATATATTTCCACAAATTGTTTTATAGCCCGAATGTCCATCGTTTCAAATTTGAAAATATTGGTTTTTTATGACAAACGGCAACTTGTTAAATATTTTGTAATCCTTATTTTTACAACTTTCATTCAGAATTCAAAAATTTGTAGTTTCATGACACCTCTATTTATCATTTTTCTTTCAAGTTTATCGGTTATTTATATATCTTTTTGATATCTAGGTATATCCTTCCCGTTCTTATTTTTAATTACTCCACATCACTTTGTCATAGTTTATTAATTTTCAATAGTGAATTCGTAAATTGTAATAATTCTACATTTAGCTTTATTCACCGACATTCAGCATGTATTACCCTTTGTATATCTATTATCTATGATGTATTCACTGATTTATGTCAGAGAAGTTTATGTTCATAAGGGATTCTCGGCGTAGGGCGTAGGTAAGCCGGCAATGTTGTTCGCCCGAAAGTACTTTTGAATTTCTATATTTCACCTGTTTCTCCTAATCAGTAAACAACCTATATATAATTTCTCCATTTCTACGTCGAGCTTCTAAAATCTTTTTAAGGACAAAACTGGACAAAACCTTTTTTTTTCTTATGCAACCCACTTCACTTTCATTTTTAAAATCAACACGCCAAATTTCGCCGTATGCAGCGCCAACTATGGATAGTTATCCAAACTAGTGAGATGAGGTATACTAGTAAACGTAAACTGAACGTAAACTAACCAAAATGACGTACATTGTGGAATATGCGTAGAACGAACACACTTTCATATACTGGTATCTATGGTTGCAAATTTAAGGATGATTTAAGGTAAACGTGTGTGGGAGAATGTATTATAGAAAAAGTGTTAAATATGTTGTAATTTTACAAGTTGGGGCGTTAATGGATTCAAATTAGTGTTTCGAAGATGCTTGTTAGTGCCTGTTTCTGTTCAAAATAATGCTGGTGACAATATTAAGCACCAGAGAACGTTTCATCAGTCAACAACCTATTAAATTTATGTAGTTCATTCAAGATGGCTGAAATTTAATATACGTATTTGCCCGTATTTTATATGGTTCAGTATGATAGTGAAGTGGATCGTGGATGACGGTAAGGCTGAAAGGTAAACTTTTAATTCTTAACATTTTATGTGTTTTGTGGTGATTGGTACCATATTGTGTATACGGCCGACATTTTAGCTAGCCTCCACCCAACATTTTATTTGCATTATATCTACCTGAATACAAGGTACAGAAGCTTGATATTTTTATTTAGGCGTATGCTTTTCGAAGAACATTAAAATTGCATGTGTTAACGTGTTGACGTTTTATGTATTAAATGAACCCTCTATGGACGTAAAGATTATTAGGAGTAGATACTAGAGCCCAGGAAGTCACCAATCCTCATTTCAGTCTTGCGTGTAAAATTCGGCAATATCTGTTGTGGATATCTACTTTTTAGGTTAGAAGAGGAACACCAACAAATAATTTTGTATTTTTTGTTGCAAAGTTGAAAAATATTTTTTGTTTT